ACTGGTCCCCAGCTCATAATCTCAGTTGCCTTCTCCAGCACACACAGGAAGAGCTCCCACTTTGTGAGAAAAAAGGAATAGCTGCGCGAAGAGCTGGTGCAACAAGAGGGGCGTGCACATGTGATGGCCAGCGCCCTGCACAGATACAAAATTGGTCAGCTCATCTGCAACAATGAACCGTGGTTATCTGCATCCACATCTGCAAATACGGATACCTGGGGATATAAAGAGGATCCCTGTGGGTTTGCAGGGCTCTAGTGATGCCTGCCCTCTGGGTCAACTCATTAGGGATTTTAAAGGCCAAGGTTTGGGCTAAGGAGTCAAGGCCATGCAGCTGGGAAATGTAACAACTCATATCCTTGGTGGCTCAGCATAGCAGGTCACATACCAGTGAGAGATACCTGAAAGCTGCTGATGGGACAAAAGGCTCTCTATAGAAACATGCTCATTGTTCCTGCACTTCAAATGTCCCACATCACTCTTGTCACAAGGGGCCTGAGGCAAGCATTGGCCTCTTCATGGATTACTTTTGTGGGGTGTCAGGGCTGAGGTGAACAGCTCATCCCTCACTGCACAGTTTTTATTTTTATTTTTTTGTGAGTATGTATGTTCTGCACCGTGGCAGAATTAAGTCCTACATGTGCTACAAACAGGGGTAGTGGGTGAAAGTAGGGCTGGGAGAGGCAAGCCCTCCCCCCAGCACCCTGAAACAAACAGTATGAACCCAGGGCTGGGGTGAGCACTGAGCTCTTCTGCCTTCGGAGGCAAGCGCTTGGCCCAACATTCCCTTTGTGGTCTCCCCAGTTCTTTGAGGACCCCAGCATATTGGAAGCCTTGCAGCGCTGACCTGGTGCTGTGCACACCTGGCAGAACAGAGAATGAAAGAATCCCAATCCTAATCTCAAACCCTTTACGCAGGATTTAATCAGTTCTGGCTCTGGAATAATTCCCAGTGGCCTTCATTTTGAAACTCTTCATTCACACCAATCATTCCTTGTTCCTGTAAATGCCATTCAATCAAGTAAGGAGAGGGACTAATTCCAGCCTGTGTCTCTGGGCCACACCTGTGACAGGGCAAGTGCTCATTTCAGTCTATCCCATTGTATTGTCTCTGGCTACTGAATTCCTTGCTTGCTTTTCCTTGCTGTCTCTGACCACCACCCCTTTCTGTGCCTAGCCACTCACTGCAGCAGCAGGAACAAGGGGGTGCTGTTAATTGCATTCTTGGACAATAAACTTACCTTGTTGCTGTGCCTGGGGGTTATAGATGTGAATATTTTGGCTATGTCTACACTACAGGGGTTTTGCGCAAGAAAATGTACAGTAAAACGGCAGAACAGAGAGCTTTTTGCAGTATAGGTATACCTCTTTCTACAAGGAATAACTCCTTTTTGCACAAGAGTTCTTGCACAAAAAGGTGTGTGTGGACACTCAACAGGGGTTTCTTGCACAAGAAGCCCCTATCGGAAAAAGCACAGGTGCTCTGATAGCCATTCTGTGAATGGTAATCAGAACTTTCTTGCGCAAGAGCGTCCATGAAGTATGGATGCTCTGTTGTGCAAAAACACATCACTTTTGTGATGCGCTTTTGAGATGGGGACATGCTTTTGTGCAAGAAGTTTTGCGGAAGATCTCTTTTGCAGAAAGCTTCTTGCGCAAAAAGCCTGTAGTGTAGACAAAGCCTTTGACTGCAGGGTGTTATCCTGTACTGCAGAAGGACAAAACCCAAGCCTAAGATCTGAACACACCTGATCTAAATTATGGGGCTAATCTCCCTGGAAGATACCAGACGTGGATTGCCCCCATAATGCTGGGTCAGTGGTGGTAAGTGACATTTGGCATTAACAGGTTCATCTCTCTCTTCTTCATTCACAGATTCCACATGTTTAGGAAGCTGCAAGTTCAAGTGTATGTTCAGAAAGGAATTGCTGAAAATCATGGGCGTTAAGAACCAATGCAGTAGGCAATGCTTCCCTTTCCTTCCTTCTGTTCTTTCTTTAGGCTTGTTAGTGGCATAACAACAACAATACCGTACATGGTGAGATCGTTACATGCACGTAGAAGACACCCAGCACAGTAGTATCCGAGGGCATGTCTATCTACACTGGGGAGTTATTTCAAAATAACTCTCCTTATTTCGAAATAACAAGGCCAGCATCCACAGTGCCAAGCCTCTTATTTTGAAATAACAGGCATGTTATTTCAAAAATCATAACTCTTGCTTGCATATGTCTAGACTACAAGCCTTCAAAAAAGCCTCTTTTGAAAGAGATAGTCTAGACATCCACAAGACTTTTTCGAAAGAGAGCACCCAGACCATCTGGACTCTCTCTTTCGAAAAAGCCCCGTTTGCAGTCAAGAACGCCTTTTTTTAAAAGAGCTCTTCAAAAAAAGGCATTCTTCCTCGTAAAATGAGGTTTACTGCTGTCGAAAAAACTGCCACCTTCTTTTGATTTAATTTCGAAAGAACATGACTGCAGTCTAGACGCAAGTGAATTTTTTTTGAAAAAAGGCCACTTTTTTCGAAAAAAAACAGTGTAGTCTAGACATAGCCCTTGTGAAGAGGAATAAACTTATTTTGAGGTGGTTATATTGGGAGTTATTATTTCAAAATAGCCTGGTAGTATAGACATAGCCTGAGTGCAATTTAAAAGATGTAAAACTCAGTGTCTTAACTTCTGCAAATAATAAACACAGGGGGATATCTTTTGTTGAAATCCTTTGGTAGAAAACTCTGCTCTTACAGATTTTTGTACCAAGGTCCTGTCACAAGAGTCCAAAATAACAATAACTTATAGTTTCTATCCAAGTGGTTTTTCAAAGTACTTTCGAGGCGCTTTGGTTTGAAAATTGGATCCACAATCACAGGCATCCCATGCTGAGAGATAAATGACTGCTGGGGTATGTCATCTGGGCATTTACTTTCCTCACTGCTGCGGTGTGCATCCAAATGAAGGCATCTGCATTTGGAAACTGGGTTCCGTCATTTCTCAGCTACTGCATATTCCAGAAAATGGGGAAGGTTTTTTGTCTAAACTGGTGAGTTTATTTAGGCTCTCAGCTTTATACGTTAGTTAGACTATTCATTCATATGGCTGAAGACCTTCCAAGTGGCACAGTACGTTTATATAAAGCTTTATTCGGTTTGCAATTGTTTTAATTTTGTAATCTCTTAGAATCAGACCTTCAGCTGGCATACATCAGTGGTGTGACAGTACACAGCAGTACACAAAGGAATACACAGGATTGCACTCTGAATCCCACTGAAACCAATATCAAAATTCCCATGGATGTGATCAGGTGCTATCTGAGTAATGCCAAGAGACTCCAAGTTCCCAGAGCATCAGAGGTCTTTGCTTTTGTTATGTTGCCTGGCAGAAGGGGGTCTAGAACAAGGAGTGAGCTGTTTTGGAGACTGTCATGGCATCACGGTTCTGTGCAGAGAAGTACCTAGCAAACAGTCTTAGGTAGAGCAGCTGAAATGACAGGGTATTATTTCCCAGCATCTCCTAATTATTCAATGCACTGTCCCACCCTAGGTTATTATTATCTGTTGGTACTATTATTAGAGGCCTCTGCTAAGATCAAGCCCCTATTTAGTCCTGGGGGAATTCTGCAACTCTTGCATGTGGAGCCATAGTGAAATTGCAGAATTCCCCCAGTTCTGCCCATTCCAATCAGTGCTGTATTAGATACCTAATAAGAGACAGTCCCTGTTACACAGACCTTGCAGTCTAGAATGATAATACACACAATGGAAGGGTTAAAAAAATCATTATCCCAATTGTACAGAAGGAGAACTGAGGCACTGAGAAAGTAAGTAACTTTCCCAGAGTCACACAGAAAATATGTAGCAGAGGCAAGAATGGAACCTTGCTCTCCTGAGTCAGATTCTAGTGTCTCACCTACAAGACCATCCTTCCTAGAAAGGCCAAAGGTTAGAACTGGGTCCAGTGATTGGTGGTATAAGAGACCAGCCTCGCCACTCTTGCCAGGAAATCATATTGTGGCCCTTGAAGAGGGGGTTAAATGGCAGAGCTCATTAGCTTTGCTCTGAACATCATTATTCTCCCCTGCCAGTTCATCAGCATCTGAGTCTTAGGATTTGAGAATAAGTACCAGAACCATGGCAAGCCCTGACCTGATTAGTTACCAGCCTGAAGCAGGCTGAATGTTTCTCAGGCTGAATGTTTCTCATTCCCACCCACGCAGCTCCTACAGTCCTGTCACCACAATTAATTTGTGCTGTTCCATTTCCTGGACGCCTGTCACTGAGAGCGGGGCCTCAGACCTGTCACTTTCTGCATGCTCAGTGAAATTCTACAGGCTTCAAACAGACTCATGAACATCTGCTTCAAAGCCTAGCAAGGGTCCATGTCGTAATAGAGAGGCTTAGTTTGTGCTCCCAACCTGTGCAAAACTCCGCCCAACTCCATGGTCCTGCATTTCTGGTATGAATAATTTATTTATAGGCATTTGTTATGGCCCATCTCTATAACAAGTGTTAATAAATCTATTCTTGCAACACCAGCTGAACTAGAGAGGTGCCATTTCCCATTTTATAGATGGGGAAACTGAGGCACAAACAGGTGACTTGACTTGCTCAAAATCAAGTAGGGATTCTGTGGCAAAGCCAGGAATTGAATTCAGATCTGCTGAGTCCCAGCAGAGTGTGTAAATCCTAAAACCTTGGCTCTACTCTAATCCTTGGGGATACCCTGTAAAACTGTTGCTGTCACTGAGTGCAGATGTAGGAGAAGTTTTTCCTATAACTCTCCACCCTGGTTCCAGTTGTTTTGATTTGTTATCACTCCCAAATACCTGACATCAGTTTAATATTTGATCCCTTCTCTATCTATAGACCATGCCCTGCTATTGAATAGACCAGACGATCAAATAGCATATGCGCTTCTCCATTTCTGGCTTCTGCTGAGCTGGTACTTTTGATAGACAAGACTCTGCTAACTTGACTCAAGTCTCCCTCTTTCTCATTCTTATAGCTGCTTCCAGCACATCTGATGTGGGGCTGGTGGATGAAACCAAGTCCAAAGGGAATACAACAAATAGTACAACAGACCCTGAAGTAGATCAGCCAGAAGTCAAGAAGGGAGAGGTGCCTCGGGGTCCAGGGCCGTTCTTTTACATTGGCGGGGCTAATGGAGCTGGCCTGTAAGTTATTCTTCTCCCACAGATTTTTAGATTTGTAGATTGTAAAACCAGCAGGGATTATGTTCGTGTGGTTGGACCAACTGCGTAACACAAGGCTTCTACACTGGCATGTTTTGTCCCCAAAACCTGCCTTTTGGCGACAAACCAGTGAGAGTGTTTACATGGCGATGTGACTTTTGTCAGGAAAAACACTCAGTTTTGGTGACAAAAAACTTCCACCGTGAGAGAGAATTTTGTCTTTTCCCCTCCCTTTATTGTTAACAAAGAGGCCAGGGTGGACTCTGCTGTTCGTTTTGTCATGAGAACTGGCTTCCTCCAGTATCCCACAATGCCTGCCCTGATGGCTGTGCTCAGTGTTTTGTGTTCTCTGCTGCCCTGTGGGCATGCCCCCCCACCTCAAAGCTCTGAGAAGCGTCTGACAGCTGAATGTACTGCTCCGTATTGGGAATAAACAAAGAACAAACCATTAGAATGTTCCTGTTCTGCACTGCTAGAAACACAGCAGCAGGCAGAGAGCAGCTGCAGAGGTGATGGCTGGAGAGACTGCTGTGCTGCTTTGACATTCCTTAGCATGAGAGCTCACACAGGAGCTCTGTCTTCCCACAACACAACACTGTGGGATGCTTTCCCACATGGCTTTGCTCTGTCTGTCGATGGAGGCTTGCAATGTGACCATGAAATGTCGACAATGGGAGACAGAAAAACTGGTTTGACTGGTTTTCACTTTTGGCAACTCTTGCACGATGACAGCACTTTTGTCACTGAACCTTCCCAGTGTAGAAATCACCTCAGACCCGCTCTCACTGCTCTCTTCAGCACCAAGCCCATAACTTCTGTTTAGCAATAGCTTGTCTTAGAGCAGGGCTACTCAACTTTGGAAGACCCGAGGGCCACAATGATATTCACAGCACATGCCAAGGGCCGCAACTTAAGTGTGGTTGCATAGACATGCAAATATATATGCAAATAGCTTTTTTCACACTGATGGGCATGAATACAAAGATTAAGGCAAAACTACACAACATGCAGGCCCCATTTAAGTCAGTTCTGCTGATATTAATTAAATGCAATATTTACCCGATTTCCACCCATATGACAGCACTTTTAATGAGCAATGACAGTCCAGGAATTTAACTACTAAAACATGTATCAACAGAAGACCATTACATTGACTTGCCGTTGTGGAGTATTTTCCCAGTGGAGGCTATGTTCAAAGGATCCCACCTGTGGGCCACATGTTGAGCCCCGCGTAAACCCAAACCACATGGTGGGCTGCAAACATGTTGAGTAGCCCTGTCTTAGAGGCAATGTTTAGCCTGCAGGCATCTTTCTGAAGAAGTTTTTCCAGGAGAGATCTTCTGGAAAAACTTCTTTCAAAAGAAAGTGTCCATACAGCAAAAGCACATTGAAAAAGTGATCTGCTTTTTCGAAAGATAGCATCCACATTGATTGGACACTATCTCGCATTTAAGTTGAGATTACTATGGGACAGAGTGGCCACCTGGGCACCTGTGCTTTTTCCTGGAGGCCTCTTCTTTCGAAAAAAAACCCTCTTCCCCGTCCACACATGCCTTTTTCCGAAAGAGCTCTTTCAGAAAAAGGCTTCCTCCTCGTGGAAAGAGATTTACCACTGTCGGAAAAACCCCTCAGTTCTTACAACTTTCTGCTGAAAGAATGCAATTGCAGTGTGGATGTAAGTGTAGTTTTTCTGGAAAAACTCTGCACTGTAGACATACCCTTAGAAAGACCACCAGTGTTCATCTCAATACTGCAAGCAATGGAGAATCCACTCAGGCACTTGTTCCCATAGTTAACCATTGTCATTGTTTATAAACTGAGCCTCTCATTAGTCTGAATTTGTCTTGCTTCAACTTTCCAGCCATTGGATTTTGTTAGTTAGACCTTTTCCTACTAGCTTAAAAAGCTGTCTACGATCTGAAATCTATTCCCTTGCAGGTATTTGATTACAGCCTACAAAATCACCTCTTAGTCTGCTCTTTGATAAACTAAATGGAGTGAGCATCTGAAGATGCTCACTATAAGCTTTTCACCCTCCTCCCCCCCACAACCTCAAGTCCTTCTTGTAACTTTCTAATTTGTCAATGTTCTTTTTGAGTTCTGGGGACCGGAACCTAACACTGAGTAGGAGAAAACCTCGTCACACACTTTCCATGGGCTTTCCTAATTCACTCTTTAGTGCGAGAACACTGGGTTTACAGACACACTCCCTTGTTCCAGGAGTTACTTGGCTGTTTTCTCTTCCCCCTCATTTCTGAAGTCTTAGGTGGGTGGATTTCTTGCCAGGCCCCCCACAACACAGAAGATTCAGGTCTCCCACGAGTGCCATTTCCCTTCTCTTCTAATTGACATAACCCCATTTGATGCAATCAGTCTTCATTAACGAGGGCTGCACTACCGTCGGCAGCCCCTCTCAAAAACCCAATACAGCCTCACGTGTGTACGCGCTAATTCCCCAGCAAGGGGAGAAGAGAATTTGAATCCCACCATCTTTCCCACCTGTGGGGCTCGAGAGTGTTGCTGAGTCGGCCCTCTCGGGACCGTCGCAGGGAATTCAAGGCCTCTGAGCTCATTAAAAGCTTTTCTATGTTGTTCTTCATGCAGGGTGAGCGTCTACTGCCGAAGCAAAGGCTGGCAGCGTATCCATGACAACAAAAGGGAGGATTACAAACTGAAATGGTGCGAGACCAAGAGTCGGGAGACCTATTACAACTTCAAAGAAGGTAAGAGGTCACTGTGGCGGCAGGGAGAGCGAGGGAACACTGAGCTACGAGGAGGAGGCGGCTTTTGGCTCCTAGCAGGGCATCTTTGCAGGAGCGTAGGTGGAGCGGAGCTCAACTCGGAGCTGGTTTGTAGCAGCTGGGTAAAGATAACGTTCGAATTGCCTTTCAGCAAGAAGATGCCACGCTCATTGCTCAGACACCCTGGTGGTGAAGGAGGCAGTATACAGAGCTAGACCCAGAGCGCGAGCCCCACTTTGGTACTGCGATGGGTGGGTCGCCTTCTCCTCTGTGGAACAGCAAACTCCAGACTCAATCCAATAAGATAAACAGTGATCAGACCAGGCCATGCACCCCGCCTTGTAGGGAGAGATTAAAACAACACTTTGCCCAGCATTTCTCATGCCATTGATCCAATACATTAGGGCTGTGTCTAGACTGGCAAGCTGTCTACACTGGCCGCTTGAATTTCCGCAAAAGCACTGACGATCTCACGTAAGATTGTCAGTGCTTTTACAGAAATACTATGCTGCTCCCATTCGGGCAAAAGTCTTTTTCCAAAAAACTTTTGCGCAAAAGGGCCAGTATAGACAGCAGAGATTCGTTTTCCGCAAAAAAGCCCCGATCGCGAAAATGGCAAGTGGGGCTTTTTTGCGGAAAAGTGCATCTAGATTGGCCACGGACGCTTTTCCGCAAAAAGTGCTTTTGCAGAAAAGCGTCCTGCCAATCTAGACGCGCTTTTCCGAAAATGCTTTTAACGAAAAACTTTTCCGTTAAAAGCATTTCCGGAAAATCATGCCAGTGTAGACGTAGCCTACAGGTGTGTCTAGACTACAGAGTTTTGTCGACAAAAGTCCACTTTTGTCGACAAAACTGTACCTGCGTGTACACTGCCACTGAGTTCTGTGTGAACATAACGTTGATAGAACTCGGCAGTTTTGTTGACGGCGGTAAACCTCATTCTACGAGGAATAACACCTTTTGTCAACAGAGTTCTGTTGACAGAAGGCGTTATTGCGTCTACACTGTCCTTTGCATCTACACTCTCATGTCGACAAAGCGGCTTGCTTTGTCGACAGAACTGGATGTAGTCTAGACGCTCGTTGTCGACAGTATCTGTCGACAAAACTTCTGTCGACAAAAGCCTGTAGTCTAGACGTACCCAATGGGAGGGGAACTTAAGGCCCAGAGATGAATGCACCCCCTGGCTTGCCTGGATCCAGCCCCCAAGGCTCAAGGCTGGAGTACACAGAATCTACTAGCGTCAGCCCCCTTCAGCTCTGGTTGAAGCAAAATGCAGGACAATGTAGCACTTTAAAGACTAACAAGATGGTTTATTAGATGATGAGCTTTCGTGGGCCAGACCCACTTCCTCAGATCAAATAGTGGTCTGAGGAAGTGGGTCTGGCCCACGAAAGCTCATCATCTAATAAACCATCTTGTTAGTCTTTAAAGTGCTACATTGTCCTGCATTTTGCTTCAACTACCCCAGACTAACACGGCTACATTTCTATCACTATTCAGCTCTGGTGTGTGAGAGGATTGTGGGGAGAGGCTTTCTCCTTCTCAGCCAGGGGCCAGGTCAGTGAGGGGTTGGATTTTTTTATTTTTATTTTTTTTGCTCACTTGTGTGCAACCCCTGACTGATTTTTCTGTGGGTCAGCAGCCCCATCCCAAAAAAGGTTTCCCACCCCTCTGCACACCTGCTACAAACCAAGCTACTTCTCAGAATAGCCCCTTGCTAAGCCACTCCAGGAGACCAGGTGTATGTTACATCAATACGGCTGCACCTTTTGCGTAAGGACCTCCAAGTGCTTTGCAAAAAGCGGCCATTATTACTGTGTAACCCACACACCTTCTGGGTGGGGGGCACTGACCCCTCTAGTGGCACCATGGCCATTACAGAGAGCATAATGAGGCCTTAGCTGAGAGCCAGCTGGTGGGGGTTCGATTCTGCCGATCAGCATGACAAAGGCTATCGCAGCACGAAGGAAACTGAGGCACGGAGGAGCTAACTTTCAAACATGGGTGTGCTTTGTCCCCGATGAAGCAAGTTTCAGATTTGTTGATCTTGCTTTCCAGTTCTCCCATCTCTTCTCCTGGCTGGCCCCCTGCATTTGCTTCTCTGGTGCCTGGTCTCCTCTCCCCTTGGACATGCTGCTCAGCTACCTAGTCTTCTTCTCACCACTGGTAGATCTAGTTCCTGAGAACCTCTGTTCCTCCAATTTAGCAGGGGCCCCTCCTCCTTCCCAGTTGTAGTGATGAGTCTGAACACATGTGCTGACAGCAGAGAAATGAACCCAGCTAGCTCCTCACTGACTACCAGGTGCTCTACAAATTGCAGATCTGCAGCACTGGCCTTGGAGACCCTCGTAAGGTCCCACAGGGGAGAACTCAGATCCGTTGCCTCTCAGTCTCTTGCTCAGTGCTACACCTGACCTCTTTGCAAAGCCACATGGTGCTAGAGGAGGTGGCCTTGCATCACAAGCACCCCCACACTGAGACCAGGGGTCAAGCCGTCTGCTAACACAACTTGGTTTCCATCCCCTGAGATCAAGTGAGCTGCCCTGCTTGATGCCAGCTGAGAGCCTGGCCCTCAGCAGGGGGGGAGGGGAAACCCTTCCATACACGCTCGCTGCCCTTCACCGTGACCCCAACGTCAGAGAGAAATGCAGCCCATTTACAAGGCTTTAGCTACAGAGGGGCCCCGGAAACCTCCATGTCTGAGCTCCGGCGGAGCATTCTGTAGCTCAGCGCCCTGGCCTCCAGTTAAATCTAATCAGGCTTCTTGGGGCCCAGCCAAATTCCCCACAGGAAGAGCATGAAACTAAGAATCCACAAAGGCTTCCTTCAGCCTTCCTTATCAGATTTCACCCCCAAAGAGAGGGGCTTTGTAGCACCAAGATATAAGCTGGTGGATGGGTTTCCCCCCAACCCTCCATCCAAAGAGCCCTTGTGCCTAATAGCAGCCAACCCCTCCCTCTTAAAGTCTGGGTGCTGGGGCATTAATGGCCTGCAGCTGGCCCCCGCTCTGCTAGCCCAACAATCCTCCGGAGTCTGCAGCTGTGCTCATTCCTTCAGGCAGAGCCAGCTCAGGTTAACCCTTTCCCTGCCAGGCCCTGGGCAGGTCTGGATACGCCCCTGCAGTTGTGCTGGTGACATCCGGGTCAGCTCCTGGGCCAGACTGTGCTGTGAAATCGCTATCCTACGGCAGGGGGCGTGGGAGGGGCCACACTACAGGGGGAGCTTTTGCAGGCTAGAATTCTTCCTGACCAGGGAGGAATTCTCCTGGGGGTGGAGTGTTGCTGCCCCTGAGCGCCGGCCCTCCCTGTGCTCCAGAGCTGCACGCTGTCCCACCTCCCCATGGTGCTGGGAGGGGACCGGCACATTGGCTCCCATGAGGGCAGAGCCTGGGCAGAAGAAGTGGGGCTTGGGACAGGGTTGAGGGCTTGCCTCCCCCAGCCCATCCTTCACCCACCGCCCATGTTCCTGACCCCTGGACCGCAGTTCCACCAGCCTTCAATGGGGGCAGAATGCCCTCTGGGGGTGCCACATCTCTGGTGCTGGGGGGCCAGGAAACATTGTGCCCCTGTCACCCTGGCACCCCAGCCCAGCATGCTGCCTGCTTTATGGGCTCATGGAGAAATGTGGGGGGGAGGAGAGGGAGAATAAAGGCTCCTACTCCACATTGGGCATCCTCACAGGCCGAGAGACAGCCTGGCCTGGGGTACATCACAGGGTTACTATTGCACTGTAAGTGGCAAGAGGCTGCTCCAGCGGCAAAGCAAACCCACTCCAGAACAAGAGGTGCTTGGAGGGAGAAGGAATCCCCTCTGGTCCCTCCCTTCTGGTTTCAGGGCTGCTCTCAGCTTCTTAGCGAGGCTTTGAGCAGATGGGGAACATGGCTCTGCAGCCAGGAGTCACCTCGATGCCCCCGACCAGACGGTGTGGCCCATGCAGGCTGTTTTGTTTCCTAACGCAGGTGAACAGCTTCTGTACCAGATCCCCAACAATAAGGTCCTCACGACTAAGATTGGCCTTTTGAGCAGCCTGAGGGAGTACGAGCGGGTGATGAACAAGATCAGCACGAACCTGAACCCCAAGTAAGGGCACCACATCACGTCGGGCATTGCCCAGCCAGCATGTAGACATGGGTGCCGCTTAGGGAAGGTGCCATGTAAAGGAGAGGCTGAACAGATGGGATGAGCAACCCTCCGGGAGAGATGGGCTTGTGCGGCCCCTCGTGGAAATCCTTGGTTTCTCCACCCCCTGGCTCAAAGTGACCTCCTCCGTGCTTATTCAGCATTTTGTATCTCCCACTCAGCCACGTGGATTAAGCTAGGATGGGTGGACAAGATCTGGCTCATGGACCAGATCTGGCCTGCCAAGCAGCTGGATCCAGCCCGCAGGTGCAGTGGAAGCCCCAGTCAGGCTCCCTGCCACCCAGGCCCTGGCAGGCTACTCAGAGCAGCCAGCTGCGGGGCCCTGTTTGTCTGTGAACAGCTGTGAGCTCGGGGAGAGAGGCTTCATGTGCTGTGCCCATCCCCAGCACAATCTCACAGCTCCCATTGGTCGGTTTCTGACCAATGGGAATTGCTGGCTTAAAGACCAGGCAGCACGCAAAGTACTCTTTTCCCCTCCCCTTGGGCTCACAGCTGTTTACAGGCGCACATGGCCCCACAGCCGGCGGCTCTGAGCAACTTGCCGGGACGTGAAAGGCAGGGAACCTGCTGGGCTGCTGGTCAGGAGTCACTCATATAAGCATATCCTAGCCAAAGCCTGCTCTGGCACCTGAGCCCCTCCCTCCATCCAGCCCTCCATCCTCCCACTCCTGGCCCCTTACCCTACATAACCCAAACCCTCTGCTCCCCCTCCTATCCCCTTCCAGACTCTGAACCCCAGTCCCCTACCCCTTGTCACAATCCAAACCCCTACACCCCAGTCTCTGGCCTCAGGTCACAATTCCCTCTTTTACCCAAACCTGGCTGTGAGTGCTCTGCTAATCAGCTGGGTGGCATCTGAATCTCTCCTGAGTGGCCGCACAAGTGCCCAGCTTACATGGAACACTGGCATGGAGTCTTCTTTTTTTTTAACTTTGAAAAAGTACATTAGAGAAAAGAATTCTTCTTTTATCTATGCATGTAGAAATACCTGACCCAAAGGTAGCAGCTGTAATGAATCCCCTTGTTTGGGTAAAAGCTAGTGAAAAATGAGATGAGGACTCCCAAAGCTCTAGAGGGTTTTGTAAATATCAGATACAGCACATGACCACCTCACATGCAGTGTTATTGGACCTACCGCAAATAACCTTTACCATGGTTACCTGAAACCTTCTCTGTCAGTTTGCAGCAGACTTAGTGTGCAAAGGGACATCCTCAAGGCCAACAGATATTCTATAGGGCTTAAGGAAACATTTAGCCTTGGATTAGCACATATTCTCCAGTGTTGCCTCCTGGGACTGTTTCCATTATTCAAATTTGGAGAAGTTCTAGTTTTGCCCAAACCCTTGTCAAACTCTAAAGACGGGGCCAAATGTTGGGAAAAAAAACCCTCTTTTGCAAGACCCTTTATTCCTTGTAAATCGAGGTTTACAGGGTCTTGCGAAAGAGGGTTTTTTTTCCGACATTTGGCCCCATCTACACGGGGCCAAATAGCAGCAAAACCTCGTCCGCAAAAAGAATCAGAAAAAGATATGGAAATGCGAGAGCCATTTGTATATCTTCTTCCGGAAAAAAATGGCAGTGTAGCCATAGCCTAATAGTAAATATTTCTTTACAAGCTGCTCCGTGTTCTAAGCCGGAAAGAGCTTGATGCAATATTATGAGGGGTGCGCTTGAGACTCAGAGGTCTGATCCAGATTTGAACTTTCCCAAAAGTAGGAGCCTAGCAAGCTTGAGAGTCTGGCTCATCTCTAGAGGGAACAAAGAAAAAATAATTATTATTTTGAGTAAGAAGGCAGTTTTCCCCAATGGAAATAAAAGAGTATAGGGTGAAAGACAACGGAAAACATCCATAACCTACAACTACAGTAAGATGTGCACCCCATCTCTTGTCTGATGAGAATTCAGAAGGGAATGAATGGCTTAGGAAAGACTTTTTGTAGGGATATTAACCAGTTAACTGGTAAGCAAACCAATAAGCATGAGGCTTACCCATTGGGGCTGATAGCCTCGCTAGGACCCTAGGCAAGGTGTGTGTGGGGGGAGGCTGTTCCACGCCCCAGAAGGGGTGGGGCCTTTGGCAGAAGGGGCAGGACTAGGGCTAGGCAGCGCTCAGTGCAGCCCAGAGAGTGGCACCCCCCTCTCAAGCCCTCAGCGCTGCCTGGAGAGCACGATGCAGCCCTCTGGTGATGATTTAAAGGGCCCGAGGCTTCAGCTGCGGCTGCTGCCACTGGGCTCTCTGGGCCCTTTTGTATTGCCAGGCTCCAGGGCACCTGCCCCTTTTGCTCCTCTTGTCAGTGGGCCTGCGCTTTCTGGTATGCTTACCGGTTAACTGGCCTTTGCTGGTTAACTCCAGCAGCATCCAGCCATGCTGGGTCTGAGCAGCCCCAACATTGGCCAGGGTGGTGGGCCAAGCAGCGGGACTTGTTTAACTGGTTAACTGTTTTAACGTCCCAATTTTGGGGGTTTATGGTAGGTTCTCCCAGAGGATATTGAAGATGGAAGACTTCTTCCCAGAATCCTTTCGACTGGACATAAAAGACGAGAAAGAAGCTTTCTTTGAACTCTACAAAGGTGACTGTTGGCCTTTGAACCTTAGCAGCCCATGGTGAGGTCAAGTGTGTTGAGAGAAATGTTGTTTTCTAAAAGGCGTCGTGATCCCAAAGTAATTATGAAAAAGCAAACAACGGATGAAAGACTTCCCTGCCCCCCTTTTAAATCCCCGCATCTGCCCCCTTCTTCAAGTACCTCAGAAATCCTTGGTGTGTTAGCAAGGCACCTCTCTCATCTGTCCAAGAATCAGTCAGGCTACGGCACCCAGCAGCTACTTCAGCCTGTCCTCTGAAATATCCCTAGCAGTCGAGAATGAACAGTAAATTTCCTGATTCCCCACGAATATCAACAGCGCGTGGGCGACTCATCTAGACCCAAACACTGCTGGCAGGTGGGCTATGCAGGGTATATGACCCACTCATCCCCATGTTTCTCTGACCTGTGGCCCAAAGGGAACACTGGCGTGGAGTCTTTTTTTTTTTTTAACTTTGAAAAAGTACATTAGAGAAAAGAATTCCCTAATCCCCCTTCACTATTCAGATTCTTTTCGAATGGCCCAGTGACTTCTGTGTTCCCCACCCCTCTGTCTCTAGCTGTCTGTCAGCTGCCCTGTAGCTACATCCTTGCACAACACCCCGCCTCCTGGCTGCCCAAACCTTGGAGACAGGCTCTTGTCGGGTCCCAAGCATCATTTTTTCAGGCCCAATACAAACGTCCTCCCATACACATAACACAATTTGCAGCCTGGGCCATGCCCCACAGGGCTGTTAGGCCCTATGTAGGTAGGGGGCCCTGACTTCTGTCTTGGACTGCGTCAGACAGGCTCCCACCAACTTACTACCTTACTCCCTGACGTTTCCTTGGCCACCATCACTAGACATCATCCCTAGCGCTTTTGTTTGCCCGCTCGCTTCTCCAACACATTGGCAAAAGCACCCCGGAGGCCTGAAGCGAATGTACCCATTGGCCCCCAAGTCCGTTCTCCAAAGTCTATACTGTCAGGAAGACAGTGGATGGGGGGGATGGATAGCTCAGTGGCTTGAGCATTGGCCTCCTAAACCTAGGGTTATGAGTTCAATCCTTGCAGAGGCTATTTGGGGCAAAAATTTGTCAGGGATGATACTTGGTCCTGCTGTGAAGGCAGGGGACTGGACTCCATGATCTTTCAAGGTCCCTTCCAGTTCTAGGAGAGAGGCATCTCCATTAATTTAATTTAAAATTTTAAACTGCTGCAGCTGGAAAAAAGCCTGCCCCACTGCCATTTCTCAGCTGCTGAACGTGCAGCAGCCCGTAGCAAATGGGGGACTTGAACTCAGACCCCACAGCATAAGTGATTACCTGTAGTCAAGCTGCTCCAATCGAACCTCCAAGTAACTAATGTACCCTTGCACTGAGCTACTACAATACACTGTATCAGTACACTGACCAGTTATCATGGCGGCGCTCAGACCAAGATGCAGAACCCACCTAAGGATCTTAAATGACACCAAATCTTGGGTGTGTTCGGATCTCAAGTTGGCCCCAGGCCCTTCTTTATTTGTGAGAGGGGATATTTAAAGGAGCATGTTTCAGCGCTCAATTACTTAGCACATCAGGCTGACACACAATAGGAAATGCACAGCCTCCAGACCTAGCCTGTCATCTAACGAACCCTTGCTCGTCTGCAGACACACAGATTTGGATCTGCAAACCCACCTGCTCCAACCAAGGTCGAGGAATTTTCCTGCTTAAAAACCAGGCAGCGGTCAAATCGCTTCAGGCCAGGCTCCAGAGCATCGAGGAAGATCCTGTGTACAAGAAGCTGCCGTACAAGGCTCCCCAGGCAAGAGTAGTACAAAGGTAGAGAATGCAGCGGGTGGGCACTCCGTGGCACCCGGGTGGTGACAAAGGGGCAGAAGGGTGTTCACATGGCGCTGGTGCAGAACTGCCCATTGGAAGAGCTGGGTTACTCCTGCCTGTATCTGCCACAGACACGCTGGCGTGAATTGTTTTGCTTCTCTTGGCCAAATCCAGAGCCCCTTGCTCATCTCCTACTCAGATCTTTGTAAGGAAAACGCCCTCTGGCTTCAGCTTGAAAACTGAAAAGGAACTGGTTCCGGCACTCCCCTCCCCTTTCTCATCCATGCCCCTGAAGGGTAGGGATGTGAACGTATACCTGAGTATTGAGTTAACCGATGAGCCTCATGGTTACACTCCCCCCCCCCCAGACTCCTAGATCTGTATAAGAGGCAGCAGGGAGGTGGGAGCTGGTGTATGTGAAGAGCCAGCTTTTAAGCTTGCTCCCGTACATGCTGGCTCCTGCAGAGCCTCCTCCCGCACTGATGCAGTATCATGGGGGGAGGGGCAAGGCACACGCACCAGCTTCTGTGGAGCTAGCTACCCCCCCCCCTCACACACACACCTTCTGTGCTGCTGCCTCTGATACAGAGGCAGCAGTGCAGAAGGAGGGGGGCAGGTGGGAGATGGTGCTCGTGGGGAGCTGGCTTAAAAGCTGGCTCCCCACAAGCACTGGCTCCTGCCTCACCCAGCCCTCATGTAAACATGTAACTGCTGAAAATTTCAGTGGTTACACATTTATCCAAATAAACTCATGTTAACATCCCTCTTGACGCGTAGTGTTTCTAAAAGCATCCATCTGAGCACTGACATGTTTGAAATCACTTCTATGGGCCTGATTCAGTGCCCCAAGAATTCAGTGGATAGATTCCAGCTGCCCTTCATGGGCACTGAGTCAGGCCTTATGGATCATAACGTCACTTCATAGTTGTACCGCGGCTCACATCATCTCTTCAGTGCTGGGCTCGGACTCACTACATTGTGTGAGTAGGAGGGCTGTTTCTCAGGTGAGCCTGTCTGAACCCCTTCACGTCTGACATTTGGAGACAGACCACCGCTATCCAAGGGGAGATTTGAGAGGCTCTCCATCTGGCAGTGGAAACATGACTTCCCAAGGCCAGATGCTGTAGCTTCACACCTGACAAAAGCCTTGTAGAGAATCCGTTGAATGAAGTATTATCCCAGCGTGTTACGCCATGCCAAGATTTCACACCGCATACAGCGTTAGCATCTGTTCAACCCATTCTGTGCCTCCTCTCTATCTGTGGTACTCTGCCTGGTAGCTGTGTTTCTTGACCTCATACAGGAACTGCTACTGTACAGACTCCAAAGAGACGCATGCTTTCTTTGTAGGAACTTCATAGCTTTTTAAGCCAAAGCTCAGTGAGTCTCTGGCGACCAAATGGTATTGCTGTTTCCTTTCGATGTCTCTGCAAGTGGCATACTCCAGGGCATTGTGAAACCACCACATGGCTTCCTTTTGAGTAGCATCTGTCTTACCGGCTGCATCCCAGCATTCTTTGCAGCGTTGAATAACACAGCAGTGGCAGAAGGAGACAGAGATTAAAATCCTGATTAATCAGGTAACTGGTTAAGCGATAGGTTAACCCAACGTTTAACAGATTAACTGACTAAGCGGGATCCTGGGTGGGGGACCACTCCAGCCTGCAAGACTCCCAGCCCCATGTTGGCCCTGGGGCTGAGGCTGACGCCACTTGCAGGCTCTCTGCCCTAGTGCTGGGGATGCAGCTGCTGCCGGATCCCAACCCGTACTGGGGCATACCTCTGCCTGGAGCAGTCTGGGGATGGAGAGCTGCTCCTGGGCACCAGTTAAGTGGTTACCTATTCACATGCGTAGACTAGCAGAAGCAAGGGAGAAAGCTGTCAGGTGAGATTTGAGAAGAGCTGGAAAGCTGAGAAGTGAGCAGGTGCCAGGAGGAGCATCAGGCAGGCACTGCGGAGGAGCAAGCTCTTCCCAAGAATGGGCCCAGTCTCTGGGCAGGGGCGTAAGGACTAAGGACCTAAATTAAGAGATCTCAGTCTGCTAACTACCTACATACAATGAGTCGTCCCGTGGCATCTTATAGACTAACAAAAATATGTATGTAGTGTCATGAGCTCCCGTGGGCAAAACCCACTTCCTTAGATGACCTTGAGTGGACACTCATGAAAGCTCATGATACTATATATATAGTGATATATTTGCTAATCTCTAAGCCCTCGTCTACACTAAGACGTTATTTCGAAATAACCCCCTTTATTGAAATAATAAGCAGAGCATCCACACTACCAAACCTGTTATTTCAAAATAACGGGCTGGTTATTTCAAAATCTGTACTCCTGCTTTCCTCAGGGAATAACACTTATTTTGAAATAGTTATTTCAGGAGTTATTATTTAAAATTTAGTTATTTTGAAATAATGTCCTAGTGTAGACATGCCCTCAGGTGCCACAAGACTCCTCGTTGGTTTTAAAGTTACAGACTCACTTGGCTACCCTTCTGAGACTTACCTACATACAAACAGCAGCCATGTTCACCAAGGTGACAAGTCTCAGAGGGGGAGCCATGTTGGTCTCTAGCTGCAAAAACAACAAGGAATATTGTGGTACCTTAACAATAGATTTATTTGGGTATCAGCTTTCCCAGGCATCTGCAACTGATGAAGTGGGGTTAGTCAACAAGGGGTGAGCTAGATTTCAAACTATCAATACAGTGAAACTCATACAAAAGGCCCTTACTTAGTTATCTCCCATGGAAGACACTGCCTCAAATAGTAGTGCCCAGAAATAAAGGAGGGATGTTTCAAAAGCTCTTAGCAATGGCTTTGCACCTAAGTTCCCACAGAAGTCAATGGGAGACATTTTAATAAGAGCAGAAACAGCCAATCCCGAGAGCCTGTGAAAATCCACACTCATAGTACTGTACACAATTTAGCTCCCTTTTTACTAGACACCCCTCTTAACCAGCCAGCATTTGTTGGTCCCTTGAATCGTCATGTAAGACAAGATTCATTCCATTTGGCTGGTGCTGCTTGAGAATTATTGTTATTGTTATTTATTATTTGCATTACTGTAGCTGTTATGAGCCCTAGTCTTGACCCTGGACCACTTACATTAGGTGCTATACAAAGATAGAACAAAATCTGATTCCTGTCCCAAAGAGCACAGACAGATCCAGATAAGAGTTCTTCATGTGATACATTTTCTACTCACCCTGTGTCCCCAGGCAACTCACTAAACTGTCCTCAATTCCCCATCTTTGAAATCAGGAGAGGAAACACTCAGCTCCCAAGTGACAGTCGGGTTGATTAATTCATTGATTTTTCTAAAGTGTCTTGGACTTCTTGAATGAGATGAACTACAGAAGTGCAAGATTTTGTCATTATTCATATAGGATGTGTCTACACAGCAAAGTTATTTCAGAATAACGGTTGTTATTCCGAAATAACTATGCGAGTGTCTACACAGCAATTCCGTTATTTCGAAATGATTTCGAAATAACAGACGGTTTATTCCGACTTCTGTAAACCTCATTCTATGAAGAATAATGACTATTCTCAAATAGCTATTTTGAAATAAAGCATGTATAGACGCTCCACTTCTGCTATTTCAAAATAGCCCCTTCACCAGGGCCATTCTAAGTTATTTCTCCTGGGGCTCTAAATCGAGATAGCACGTCTGCATTAGGGAAGCCTGCCTCGGACTCATTTTGAGGCTTCCCTGCAGTGTAGACGTGCTATTTTGAAATAAGCTATTTCAGAATAACTATTCCAGAATAGCTTATTCCAAAATAACTGTGCAGTGTAGACATATCCCCTATGAGCTGCAATTCACAGACACCCATCATGGTTTTCCTGGGGCAGCCTGGATTCTAAGTGTTTGTTTAGTAACCTGGAACCTAGTCTTCTGGGACACTTTAAGCATCCCAGTGACCATTACATCACATAGGCTATGTCTAGACCGCAAGCCTCTTTCAAAAAAGAGCGTCTAGACTACAACCTGTACTTTCAAAAAAGTAAGCCGCTTTTTCGAAGGAGAGCACCCAGGCAGTCTGGATGCTCTCTTTCGAAAAAGCACAGTTTGCATTATATAGTGCCTTTTTTCGAAAGAGCACTTTCGAAAAAAAGCATTCTTCCTCGTAAAACGTGGTTTTCCACGGTTGAAAAAACTGCCTCATTCTTTTGGTTTACTTTTGAAAGAATGCAGCAGCAGTCTAGACGCAGGTAAATATTTTTCGAAAAAAGGCCACTTTTTTTTTAGAAAACCCTGTAGTCTAAACACACCCATAGTGTGATTACCACATGACATGGTGTGATCAAGGTGTGGCATGCTCAGGATTACCACAGCACACCAACATGCTAATGGCATGACAAATTTATGATAAGGTGACATTTGCATGTTCCATCCTGATGGTGTTTGTCTGGCCCCACCATGTAATTGGGACACCTCTCAAACATTCTTGAATTATCTTGGCAGCTTTATTCCAGGAGGTCAAGAACCCAAAGCTCCAACCTGCCAAGCCAACTCAAGCAATTAGCTCATTTTATTTTTGTCCAACTATTATGATGAATCTCTCTCATCTAGTGGTGAATAGCCAGTCTGAACCGCCAGCTCTTCTGTATGTAGTGTGTAATTAGCTGGCTCATAGAAGAAGAGGAATTGATAGATTTGGATCAAACCCCAGATCCCTTTGTCCAGTATCCTGTTTCCCACAGTAACCCAGTACCACATGATTTAGAGGAAGCTGTAAGATCCCTGCAGTAGCACAAGTGGGGCAATCTGCCTTCTCTTCTCCACATTTGGTCTCATCCTATACTCATGGGCTATGTCTACACTGTCCCCATTTTGCGCAAAAAGTATGCAAATGAGGCAAAGCATGGAATATCACCATGCCTCATTTGCATAATTAATGAGGCTTGTTTTTGTGCAACCCTCCCCCCCTCTTGCGCAAGAGTCGTTCTTCCTGAAAAAAAGGAGGAAGAATGGCTCTTGTACAAGAGAGG